AAACCCAATCTAAACAATGCAAGCACATATAGGCTACTTTAAGAAGTTGGGACTGATGCCCTGCAAAGTCAATGGCAGATTACACTGACAACACATTGTTACCTCCTTGGTGCCGTCAGATGCCAGGCAATGGGCCAGGTGAGCACTGAAGGTACTTTTCCCAACTCCTCCTTTTCCTGACAGAACCAGGATCTTGTGTTTGACCACTGACAGTTTTTCCCCTATTTCTGCAATAGCTGTAGAGAGTAAAAGATTGAGGTAAATAGTTTGATGTTTCAGTAATACTGTTAAAGATATGAATAAAAGTTGGGGGGGTTACCAGGGTCAGGGGCTTTTGTGGCTCCAGAGGCACAGAGCTGCTGGTTGGGGCAGCCCTCACATGATGCAGACTTTCCTGCTTGTTCACTTGAAGTGCCTGGGCAGTCTGAGGGGATAAAGGGTCAGTTAGTTTATACTGTAAACATGTTTAACTTAAGCCTGGAAATAAAAATCTTTAATATAATTATTTGTTCCAATGCTTCAGCAGTTTTATTCACACTTTTCTCTGACGTCGTCACGCTGTTGACACACTGTTTGATATTTACAACCATTGTAATAATAATTCAGAGAAAAAGCGGAGGTTAAGATGCTGAAACTATTTTTATAACCTCAAATCAGCCCATGTTAACGCCATATTTCAACACGGACTAAATATAAAACTTGTCACAATAATTTCTATAGTGTATTACATAAAAAACAAAAAACAAAAACTCTTACGTTCTGGTGCGTTTTCTGGGACGTCAGCCATCTTTCCATTAAGGTCCTCCCACTATATCCTTCCCTTTCAAAGGTTCCGCGCAGAACGGCCTGATATTTATTCGTAATTTTTTCTTGTTTCTTTTGGGTGAAAAAACACGAGAGGCACATTGATTTTGAAATTCTTTTTTTTTCTGAAATAATCTTCATTAACATTTTGATTATATTTTTTTTCTTGTGAAATATGTTGATATTAAAGTAACCCATATGTCCACTAGGGGGTGGTATCGTCTTGAATCTCTATTTTGGTGTACTCATATTCACGGTCCGTTTCAATGGGCAGGTTTAACAAACTCGAATCTAATTGATCCAACCTAAGGTTGGAAATGGACCCTGATTCAATAATTTCATTGATTTAAATGATTTCAGGTTTAGAAAATTTTCAGTTTTCAGAATTTTCAGTAAACCTGTTGTTTGTTTATTTGTGTATTTATTATTATTATTATTGTTTTTCTTTTATAGAATCCATCCATTTTCAGTGCTGCAGTAGTTAGCCCTGCTGCCTTGCAGCAAGAAGGTTGTGGGTTCGATTCCCGGCCCAGGGTCTTTCTGCATGGAGTTTGCATGTTCTCCTTGAGCATGCGTGGGTTCTCTCCAGGTACTCCGGCTTCCAACCACGGTCCAAAAACGTGACTGTTAGCAGACATCCCAAGTCTCTGGGAAGTTCCGGGAATCTCCCTGATATAGATAGTTGTTCACGGATGCCCGAGAGTCGGATAAATTATCCCGGAATTTAAACTCTGCGAGGTGATGCTTTTTAATGCGAGTGAGAGCGGGCAAGCAATAATTAATGCATCATGTGCGATAAGAACTACTTCGATTGTGCAAACAACAAGAGAGCGCAGAGTGTAGGGAGGAGGTTACTTGTGAAACCTGTGCAGCGTGTCTGTCCAAAGCGATACTCTGTTCAACAAGTGTTCCAGACGACTGGTTGTCAGAGAGCTGATTGGATCAGCCCGATAACTTTTGCGTTACTCTCTGGCAGTCATCTAGTTACCTCTCAAAGCTGTGCACCCTGTGAAACGCCAGAATTTGAATCCTCGAGTAAAAAATGAAAATATAGCACTAATTTTATAGCAGAATATACTAAAGTATATCCACTTCTAGTGAAGGGGAGGAACAGTGGCAGATCTAGACCAAACGTACCAGGGGGCCAGGAGGGGGCCAGCGTGTTTTCATCGGGGCCCAGAAAAGCATGAAATAAAAAATTAGGGTGAAGGATTCAAATATATTAAGAGAGCTGCATGAAGTGAAATTTCTTTTCAATTAGGTTCAATAGAAAATTTAATTTCTTATGAGGTCAATATACATTCATAATTTAGGAATTTTACATATTTTTGACTTTATTTAAGTTAAAACTACAGTTTTCTATAAAATTTGAATTTGAACTCAAGAGAAACTGTTAAATTCATCTGTAAAAATTAGAGGATTTTTTTTTATTTGTTGTGAAAAAAGACATTTAGGAGATGAAAACTGGGATCCTATCTCAATACCACTGAAGCTATCACCTTATTGTTTTTGAATAATTAGTAAAACAGAATTTGTAAAGATAATAAAGTAGTTCCAAAGGACCTGTCAGAAACCATGTCTTTTCCAGCGCATATCATCATTAGAATTTCTGGCCCCCATTGGCACCTGTCTAGAACCGGCCATGGTGAGGAATGATAACATCGTGGCGAGGTGCACTGTATGCTGAAGTCCCATGAAAAACAGAAAGCCCAACCGATGTTCAAGGCTACAAGATTGAAAGTATTGAAAATAAAAGACCCATACTGTTCTGTTTTGTGTTTAAGAAAATACTGTTAGTTAATAAATTGTTGCTGAGAAGTTGCTGGACTTAAGTGTGTATGTATGGGGCCCGTGCGGGTCTGTTGTACCTGGGGGGTGGGGATTGGGGTGGCGGAGGTAAAGCATCTCTCTGAAAGGAGTTTTTGGAACTTGGGTGTTAGGTTAATTGGCTTCTCTAAGTTCTCCATAGGTGTGAGTGTGTGGGTGAATGGTTGTTTGTCCTGTTTGTCTCTGTGTTGCCCTGCAATGGACTGGCGACCTGTCCAGGGTGGACCCCGCCTCTCGCCCGTTGACAGCTGGAGTTAGGCACCAGCACCCCTCGCGACCCCACTTGGGATAAAGCGTGTCAGAAGATGGATGGATGGGTATTTATTTATTTTCTGAGGACTTTTACCTTTAATCACTGAATTTCAACACAAATATCTGTAGCTTTACTTCTTTTTTTCTCAAAAGTATATAGGACATAACAGCTCTAACAAAACACAGGGAAAATCAAGATAGCAAAGAGAATCTCTCCAGTTTGATCCCCTTATGTTTATAGAAAAACAGAGCATGGCTGAGGATAGGTTGCTGAACATTTCACATGATTGTTTAGATTTTTTAATTCAATTTATTCATCATCTATTCCCATTTATTTCATTTTTGATTTAAATGTTGATTATTTTTCACTTTCTATATAAATTTTAAGCTATTTCCAATTTTAATGCTGTGAATACCAGAGATTTAAACAGTATTCAACTACTTATACAGAACTTCTGTTTACTTACGTTTATAATATTCTTTCTAAAATTTGTTTTAGAAAATACTGTATCGTGTCAGTATCTTTTTAAATGTTCTCTCCAACAACTGTGAACGACAGAGGAAAATTAACTAATTTTCTACTATTTGCATAAACAGGTTTTTCTAAATTTTTTTTACTGTTTAACAAAATCCTCACTTTGATAGTGAAACTGTGAAAAAACTGTTTCTCGCTTTGATCCCAAAGCGTTTGTGTTCTTGTGTGTTTTGACAACAATCCCCCAAATAAAGAGGAAAAAGGAAGTAGGCCCTGTGCAGAAGCAGAAGGGTGTGTCTTGGCCATGTAAGTTGAAACCGCCTCGATAACAATGAGCTAAAACCACAAGCAGAATGTTCATTTAATCTGACCAGAGGTGAGTAGAGTTGCCAAAAATTGTAACCAAGTAAGAAGACAGCAACTTTATCACACTTTTCATTCAAGAAAAACTTAAAAGTAGTGAACCAAGAAATGACCCCAATAAGAATAAAGAGGTATTTCATAAAAACTTCTGAAGTAGCTAATATGGCATTACAGATTATGTAATAATCGTAACAAAAAAATAAAAAGTTGTGCATAAATTCTGCTATTTTAAGACTATAATAAAATATACAAAAGTAACTTTAAAAAAATAAATAAAACAATAATAGAAAAAAAAAACCCACTAAAGCTTTTCGTTACCATAAATGCTAAAGAACTTTTACCTACAGCAGTCAACACGCAGCATTGCCAAAAGTCTCTGGTCACCTTGTTTTACATGTACACAAACCTTGATGACATGCAATTCTCACTTAAACATGAGCTCTAGATGTGTGTTTTTCTGGTTAAACATGACTGCTCTTTGTTCAATAAAGTTACTTAAGTAGGATAGAGTACCAAAAGATTTTAATTTAGTGATATTATAAATATTACTTAAGTAGTGAGTGCAGTGCAGTGCAGTGAGACTACTGATAAACATAAACTTTGTCCAAAAAGATACTTAAGATCTACCACTGAAAGGTAATTTCCAACCATTATTGGTTGAAAATTAACAAGGAGCGACAATATTTATTTACTCTCCTACACATGTTGTACATTAAACACTAATATGGGAAAAAAAATTCAGAAATCACATCTTTTATTTGTTTCTTTAATCTGATTCAATTTCAGGCTTCTCCTTCCTCTCATCATGCGGCTGTTTCTCCAATAAATAATCAGCTGCAACAGTCATTTTGGGTCATTTCTTCCAAATATATTTTAACAAGACACTTTAAGGATTAGATGACTGCATATCTGCAGGATCTTAAAAACAAATGCACGTGTTTATCTTCAATAGAATAGATTACTGCAACGATCAGACAGCTGCAGTTGATCAAGAATGTTGACTTAGAAAGTAGAGCACATCTACCTAGTTCTAAAGTCCTTACACTGGCTCTTTGTATCTCAGAGAACAGACTTTAAAATACTTCCTAAATCCTTCAATTAACTCCAAAATGCATTGCAGACTTGTTGTCAGTCTATCAACCACTTAGACCTCTTAGGTCTTTTACTTCAAGTCTTGGGGAGCTTGTGGAAAATTGGAATAAGTATTTTTTCTCCAATCAGAAACATGCTATACTACTGATACTGATACTGCACATAGAATACAAATTAAAGATCAGCTTCTAAATTTATTGGGAGATAAATATTTTTTTATATATAGTGTATTACTGTCATGCTGAAGTAATACAACTTTGTATGATTGAATAATTGTTAGCATGTGCTAAAATATGTGTGTCTTCCTAGGACATATTGTTATATCATAGCCGACAGCTTAGGGACAGCCCCAACACTGGAGAGCCACTCAAATTGCAGTGGCTGTGACTCCAGTACTGTATGTGCAAGTCCTGCAGATATATAAGGATGACACAGTTGGAGGAAATTTTTATACAGACCACAACTGTGAATCTGGGTGATGAGGGTTTATTTTTTTATTTTATTAAGATTTCTGAAAAATGAATCTATAATTTCTAAGAAAAGTGCAAGAAACATCTGAGATGTCTCTGCTTGTAAAAATCTAAAAATGAATCTATAATTTCTAAGAAAAGTGCAAGAAACATCTGAGATGTCTCTGCTTGTAAAAATCTGATTTAAATTATTATTTTTTTAATTATTTTTTAAAATTGGCTTTCGGAGTGTCATGAGTATCAGACTTTTCATTAATTTTGTATGATTAATGAAAGTAGTATTTGAAAAGGCTTTAAAATGTAATAGTTTTGTTTTAGAGTCTTCCTTACTCTGCTTACCTAGAAACAACCATAGACGAGTTTTTTTCAGGTCTTCTGCTCCACTAACCTTCAACAAACCCCTAGAAACCTTAGAAGTGCTCAAACCCTAATTTGCTTTAAATCGAAGTTAAAAGCCCATAAGTTTAGTATTTCCTTTCACTTATGAGCTTACATTTTTAGAACAGCCCTTTGTGACGTACCCTTTTTACGC